CCGTGGGAGGGTGTTCACGGCTCCTCCACTAGGAACTAGCCATACGATCTTCGGCAAGTCACCCAGTGGACTCTGAGCTGCTTCCACAACCCAGGCTGTAAAACGAGGCGAATCCTGCTTCACTGGCTCAGGTGATAGGAACCCCAAATCCCTTCCAATATAAGGCCTGTAATTCTAAGGAGTTGGCATATCTACAGCTAACCTCGCCCCCCTGCAAGCCAAACGTTTCCAGCTAATTATCTGCACGGTGGACCTACTGCTTCCTAGCACCAGGCAGAGAAACCAGCAGGAAGAAGAGCACCTCCAGCCACAGACCTCAATGTCCGTTGTGTCTCTTTATGTCTTTAAACCCCCAATGGGGGGATGGGAGGGACCAGAATCGCTGGAACTAAGGCCTCTCTCCATTCCACCTTCTCCCTTGAGCCCTGGCCCCCGTCCTGAGAAAAACCCCAGCACTCTTTCTTTTAAAAAAATCACATGTGTATCATTTCATATCTCCAACAAGTTCTGCGCCCCATCTGTGCTCATGCACCAGAGAAAAATACACTTCTAGTTCTTGTGACTCCTTCTTATGCTTTTCTCCAGTGTTTCCAATGTTATGTGGTTATACACTACTGTTACCCGATTTACAGATTTAGATATTATTTCAGGACTTCTTATTATGGAAGATGAAGACTTAGCTATTTTATACACCCCCAAGTATCTGTCTATAAAGCAAATATTTCTCCTAATCCCCAAGCTTTAGAGTCAGAATCCAGCCACTCAGCACAATGACAGCTGAAGCAGTGACAACACTTGACCGCAGATTCTAGATTAGCCTGCTCTAGAAGTATGTATACACACACACTACAGCTGCGTTCTCCCAAGACCACATCAAAATTATCCTTGTCTATCTATGAAGACGCTAATAACAATTTAAAAAGGATTGTAGACTTTGGCAGCAGTAAGTAAACCACTGGGTTTTAATGGACCCAATGCTAGGGAACAGGATTTGGGAAAATTCTTCATTAAATGGCCATAAAACCCAGAGCTGTTCTAGTTCTATATGGTCCATTTTTTCTACTTCTCCTCTTTCCCCCCCAACCCCTCTTTCCTTGCAGGCTCTGAACCCTCTGGCCTCAGAGTCCTCAACTGTAGGTAGCTTGGAGGAAGTGAGTCCTAAGTTGGGGAGCAAACCAGATCAGCTTATCCACGGAGCTAAACTGTTCCTATCTCAGGCTGACAATGGGCCTCCTCCACAAGATATGCCAAAGCACATGTCTTCTCTGCAAGACAAAAGCACAACAGAGGGAACAGACTTGAGGGTCTTTCCATTCTGTCCCTTTCAAGTCTCCCGAGCCCTGAAATGAAAGAAACTAAAAGCTGTCAGAGGCATCAACAAGTGCGCCAACTCTTAGCAATGCCAAAAAAACTCCTGTTAAACAGAACGCTAACCTTTCTTGTCGTTGCTTTGTATTTTTTGCATTAGTCACCTTCCAAATTTTACCAAATGGCTCAGGCCTCATACCTGCATATTTAATGCCAGACACAGCCTTGCCATGTAGGTATTTGTGTTCACCTGCACCAGTCACCGTAACTGAGGTCCCCATGAGCAGAGGGGGCCGGGACGAGACTGTGTTGCAAGGGGGAGAGAGTTAACAGAAGGGCAAGAAGCCGCAGGAGCAGTCAAAAGCTTCCAGTGAGCGACAATGCTAGCAGCTCAGCTCCCGTTTGTAGACTCAGCAGAAAACACAGCTAGAAAAACAGGACACAAAGCTACCAAGCATCCCTCAAAATCACCCAACCTTGCATGGCCCCCCAGGATAACAGTACGGCAAATGAATAAAATATGCAAACCTATGATTCTTACACACTGTGTCTGGGGTTCAGACCACCCGTTTATTGAGCACCTTTAGAGCAAAGCTTTATAGGGTTGCGGAAACTATAGTGGTGAATGTCCTGCTTCTAATTAAAGATTCATTCATTCAGCAAATAAAAAATTTAAAAACGGAAAAAGGGCAGGGTTTCAAATGGCAAGACAGAAATCATCAACAGAGTGCTCTGGAATTTTAAAGGAGACAAAACAATTGTAACTGACAGGAGGGAGAAATATCAGGACACACGAATGAATCAAGAGTCCAAACTCAGAAAATCACAACAGTTGCTCATTGGGAGTCTCTGCTGGTGGCAGCGGAAGCGAATGCAGAGGCACGGGAACACTAAGGGGGCAACGGCGTTGGCAAGTGGCCACGGGGTGTGTGTGTGCATGTACGCACGTGCGCATGCACTCGTGCACATGCCAAGCAGGACACCAATTTTCCTCTAAGGAATTACAGCACGGTTTCACAATCCTGAGGAGTCAGGAGGACAAGCTGGCTTGGGGATAAGCAGGAGAGCTGGGAAAGTGTGAGCAGGGACAGCCCACGCTTGGTGAGCGCCCAACGGCGCTAGGGAGAGTTGGCGTGTCTCGTCCTCCACTTTATTTCCCAACATACATGCATCAACATACTGTCCGCAATGTCCTGTGTTCTTTCTAGCTCCAAGGAATCCCCTGAAGCAGAGGGAAGCCCCTGGCTCTACTGGCAAAGATATACTCCTGGTTCTGTTCTCCCAGAAAACCCTCATAATTCTAGTCCATCCATAAGGTGGTTTTAGAAGGTCTTCTTGCCATTTATACTCTACCTATAATAAATGAGTTCCAAGTTCTAAATATCTGTCCTATCAATAAAAGTTTTAGAATACCACAAACTTTGGGAAGCTATAGACTATAGAGGGATCAATGCAGCTGCTCCCTTCCCGGGCTCCAGCTTTCGGATGCCTCACTTACCTGGCCAGGAAGCCCCTGATGACCCTCCCCGGCCTTAACGTCCTTACTTACGTGGTATGAGGACCTAACGGTCCTTTGACGGCCTAATGATGAGGCCTTCCCTGGGGAAGGGAGGTGCTATTATTAATAGGCCCTTGTTTGTAAACAAATGGAATGAAGGCAAACAGACATCAGGGCCTGCCTGGAACACAATTAAGGGGAGCTCCTTCTCTGGGGAGTTCCACTGAGTGTCTGGAAAGAGCCCTGCCATTTCCACCCTTCCTTTCAGGCATTCGGCGCTACCCTAGAGCAGCAAGCCGAGCCCCTGTGGATCAAAGGACAAAACCAGGAGGGATGCTGGCTTCCATCACCCCTTTCCCTCTTGCCCTCTCACGATTCTGTAAGTCACTTCTGGCAGGTAGCTGGGAAGCAGCTGTGGATGACAGTTTTGCTCTGGGGCACAGGAAGCCACCTTTTAACCCGCCTGCTGGTGTTTGTCTCTTGAAAAACGTGACAAAGGAACAGATGTAAGCAACATGCCAACTGTTGAGAGGATCTGCTCGGAGCACTATAGGAAGCCTGTTCAAGAGCCACATCACACCAGCCGCTCAATGGAGAGCCAACTGAATTCATTTCCTGACACCCCTACACACGCTCTGTTCACATCAGGTTAGGATCCGCAGCCCTTGGGCGACTCGCCACGCACATCCCTGCTTCTGCCTTTGCCCTGTGCTGCCCAGCTTTGAAGCCCCTTCCTGGGCGGGGTTCAAAGGCCACTGAGGAACAGGTCAGCCTCACCTCCTAGAGGTCTTCTCTGACCCCCAGACCCCTCCCTGTAGAGTACCCTGGACTAGAATACTTTACAGTCAGTGCCCTTCCCCAAGCCTTCCACAGGTCAATCCAAACTGTCCGGCTTTCTCCGTGACAGCTTGAGGTATGGTTTACACACCTCTGTCTTCCCAAAGTAGGGTTTTTCAAACCACTGGTTCCATGGTGAGTGCACTGGGAAAATACGTTTAAAGGGCTGCAACCAATATTTAAAAATATGAAATAAAAACAGCTTACAAAAGATACTCTTGGGATAGGTCAGAAACTAGTGGAGAACTATTAGATGATTATTACAAAATTCCTATTAATTTTCCTAGGTATAGTAATGATGTTGTGCTTTGTAAGAGAATGCCTTATTTCTAAGAGATGCATGCTGAAGTATTAAAAGAATTAAAGCACTGAGGTGACTTACTTTCAACTGGATTGGCAAAAACCAAAACCAAAACCACACGTGCGCACATTCACACATGCACAGATAAAGCAAATGGGGAAAAATGTTTCAACTGCTGAATCTAGGTTTTCACTGTGTTCTTTCAATTTTCCTGTGGTGCTTTAAAAGTCTCATAATAAAAAGTGGAAGAAAATGAAACGGAAGAGAAAAAAAATCAGAGTGCAGAACATGAAGTTAAGATCTGGTTTCAGGTGTCTAAGGATGTGTGTGTGTCGTAGGTTACAATGTAAATGTATTTCTTACTGTGGGTCAAGGCCAAGAGTTTGAAAATGCTGCCCTAGCACACCACAGGCCTTGCAATGGACTATTAGTTAATTAACTTCTAGAAGCAAAGGACTTCAATGAAGAAGCAAGCTGAGAAATCATTTGGTCTCCAGTTATATCCCATTAACTCAAGCTGTGTCGAACTATCCAAGCCCTTTCCTGCCTTCCCATACGTGGGCCTCACCTCCAATCAGCTTTCAGGCCTTTCTTATCAGATGTTTAATTACTCGTCAGAAAGGCTATTCTGGCTCCCCCACCCCCACCTGGATGCCAGGGAGGGGTTAGCAGAAGACTCTGAGTTGGGTGACCAGGTGTCCCAGTTTGCCCTGGCTTGACGTGTCTTGCAGATTTTGCAGACTAGTGACTCTTGGTGTTAAAATTAGGACAGTCCCAGGCAAGCCAGATAGTTGGTCACCCTGGATCTGAGGGAAGATGTATGAGAGAACCTTGGACATATCGGGGAGAGCGGACGCAGTTGCGCCCTGTGGTGAATGATACCACGGCAACATGGGCAGACCCAGTAGAGCAAAAGTTGTGACAAGACAGAGCTCTCCCTCATGGCATCCCAACAGTGACAGCAAATGACAAACTGCGGAGTGTCTCTCACACCCTTAAACAGAACCTCTCTCCAATTATTCACCATCTGGAAAGCAAAGGGCAAAGGGAACTTACTGTAAAAACGTCATCATCGCCAAGCTCAGCTTCATTATGGATGGTGGAAGATGAAGTGGTTGAGCCTAAAAAGATAAAAAAATGTAGTAAGACGCATTTCCAAAGATGATACGTCAAAGCCAATCATTTAAAAAACATATTTTAATAAAACCACATTCCATTCCTTTTCAGTGTGAGTTATCAGTAGAAATATGTAACCTGGGAATTAAATGTTTTTAATTTACTCCTCTTTAATTGACTCTAGCTAGGATGTTCCCTAAAGTGAATCTACCTACTGTTGTTCTCAATCCCTCAAACTTCTGGCCTGCCCACTAGAGAACAAGCACCCAGAGAGCCACCTCAGAGGGGACAGGGGGCCCTGCCCACTGCTTGGAAGCATGCATACCACGACCAGCCTCTGCCAGTGGTGCCCCAGGGGAGACCCGCCACAATCTCCATGTAAACAGGACTTTCTGGTCTTTTCATCTGCCAACAAGAGGGCTTGACTAAATAGCTTGTAGGGTCACCTCTTGTTCTGAAATGTAGACACTGGACTCAAAAACCCAGCCTGGGGGAGCTGCATTCCAAGCAGACACCCATGCAAAGAGGTTTTCTCTTGCAATGTTGGGGCACCAGTGAGTTTTCGGTTTCTGCAGGCCAAAATTTGGGCTCGTGCCTGAAAACCCAGTTTATTCCATCATGGAATGATTTGGGTGTTTTGGGTTTGATTTATTTACATGGTTCATCCTTTCTTCATTCTGGTATGCAAATCCACATAACATCTTCCTTTTCCCCTAACAGTACCTGATACTGCGTGGACCAACTTAATGGACACTGTTAATGGCCAAAAGGAAAAACATACTTAAATCTGCATATGTGATAAGTATATCAACAGGAAAATTTCTTCTTTATCTCCTTCCCTGGTTAGGTCTTTAAAAATGTGCATTTAGAAAACATTTTGCTATTTCATAAAACTGAAATTAAAAGAACTGCTCAGAAAGAAATGAGAACTATTTAAATTTCTAACGAGGAATTATAGGAGAAAAAAGAAGTCCTCTGCTCAGTTACTACTGATCTTTCAGGAGTTTCCTCTACTAGTTTTAATTTTTCTAGTCAATTGATGTTTGAGGAAAATTTGACAGAAAACAGCCAGGTAGAGTATATACAGAGAAAAAAATTACAAGTAAGAGAGTCAAATTTGTGTGTAGCTTCAGTGAATACGTGGACATACTGCACAAGTCTATCAATAATACAGGAGCTATTTTCTCTGTAAACATTTAGAAGCTATGTTTAATAACATTCTAAACATCTGCCACTTTAGGTCAGACCCATAATGTGAACACTGGTGTTTACTACCTTTTTGGCCATCACATGGTTGGGGTGAACAGACTCATGACCTAGCTAGAATTGTCTTACTACTGACGTTGAGCGAGTTTTCTCTGTAAGATTTGCTTTTTGCTCTCCCCCCAAATCCACAAAGAAGAATATGACTTCAGAACACTTTAATTCTTAAACAAATGCAGCCCACGTTCTTTTGTAATTAATCTCCCCAAATTCTGAATTGGGCTTTCACATGCCTTGCTTGAGTCTTTCTTTCCTCACAGGGCCCGGGCCATGGCACCTTTAACTCTGAATGAATAACTGAATGTGTTGAAGTCAAGAACTTGTGCCTTTGCATGTGTGGACTCTAGAAAAGCCCATGAGAATTGGCTGCGCAAGAGCCTTCCAGGCCACAATCACATGCAATACAATGTCTACTACGCACCCTCCCACAGACTTGAGGCCTAACCCGAACCAGGGCTCTAGGAGTCACAAATCCCCTTCCTTTTCAAAGCAGACAAATACCCTGGGCTTGCATTACAGGAAGGCAGTGGGAAGGCCTGACACCTTCTGGGTCCATTAGAACCCACTCTGCTGGGCGCCTGGGTGGCTCAGTTGGTTAAGCGACTGCCTTCGGCTCAGGTCATGATCCTGGAGTCCCGGGATCGAGTCCCGCATCGGGCTCCCTGCTCAGCGGGGAGTCTGCTTCTCCCTCTGACCCTCTTCCCTCTCGTGCTCTCTATCTCTCATTCTCTCTCTCAAATAAATAAATAAAATCTTAAAAAAAAAAAAAAAAAGAATCCACTCTGCCTTTCTGAGCCGACACGGATCAGACCAAAGCCATTTCAATAGTCAGGGGAAGGTGAAATTTGTCAAAAAGTCACTGACATGGAAGTCCAGAACTTACCTTTTTGGAACAGAGCCTAAAAATCAACTGGGATCACCCTTTACTCTGAAACCCATCTCCTTCTCCCCTGCACTGTCACTTGGAAATTGTTCTCGGTGGCTGTTCCTGAAGTTTTGGCATATACTGACCTAACCCCCCAGGCCTCCCCCCAGTAAACCATAAATATAGGATGGCAGACAACTGGAATAAAAAAGACCTCGGAACATTCCCATTGTCCACCTAAGAATGCAATGACAAAATTTGGTACCTTCTATAAGGTCTTCGATTGCTTTCCTCACTCCCCTGTCAAAGGCTCGAGCATCAGCAGGGCTTTGGAAAGTAAGTCCAAATTTCCTATTGTCGACCTTCCAATGATGAAAGGTTGGGTTGGCTTTGGTGTAGACCAAGTCCTTTCTTACATAGCATTCCAATACCACCTGAAGGATTGAAACACACAGGCTGGTTACTTGTGAAGGAGTCGTGATGGTGTCTGGTTACCAAAAATCCAACTAGGAACCATCCATCATTGCTGGCAACTAATGAAAACCTTCCATCCCTGCCTTCTCCTATCTGTGAGTCTCTCCATTTTGAAAGAAGCCTTTGCTTTCCTTGTGGACCATCTGCTCTTTGTTGACCCTGCCCTGTTCGCCTTTGGTGATCCTCATTGTACTTTCTAACCATCTTGGTTCTCAGTCATTTTAATTCCTCCCACCCCTCACTGGGGCAGGGCGGGGGTGGGGGGAGGTTGGTTACTACGCTGAGGGCCCAGGTCTTGGGGCTCTTGCTCTGTTTCAGATTTACTGCTTCTATGTCAGGGCCTTTGTTTTAATGGCTCTCCATCTTCCCTCCTCTGTCCTGATGGGTGTTTCCCAGTGACCTCACATGCAACATGTTGAAAAAATTAACTAACCTGTTCTGAACTTTCTGCCAACTTCCCGTATCTAGCAATGCTGATACGTTCTCCAGCTCAAAATCTCTGTGGTTGTCTCTGTCTCTTCTGCTTTCCCTATCTCCTGTAATATTGACCATCAGGTCCACTTCATTTTTACTTCAACATCTTCTAGATCAACCTCATTTCAGTTGCTCCCACCATGATCTATTAAACTTCTATCTGAATTATTCAAACAATCTCCAAGTTTCTGGTGATCTAGGCCCAGAAATGCCTTTTACTAAGCTATGACTTGGAGCTGTTACAGACCCTTGATCATTTTACCTTTAAAATGGAAATAACACAGACACCAACATGCTTGGAAAACACTGAACTAGAAACTTAACAAGGTCACACTCATTTCCCAGGATATTCCCACCATCACATTTTACTCTTTTATTTACTCCAGTTCTTCCTGTGACTTTCACAATTTGGTACTTGATTTCACAGATTTTCTAACAGTTTCATGTGCATTAGCCTTGTGCCCCTAACCAAGCTGCAGAAGATCAAGATGTATTACAAAATAACTGCATGTCCAGCACAGTGCTGTTGCTGATAAAGATACCAGGGTTTAAGATTATACAATCAAAGAAGCACTGCCAATCATGTGAATGTAAATGTCATTCTTTATTCATAAAAAACTCCAAAATAGCGAAAATATTTATTCCTACGGCCTCATTAGGTACACCAAGATGATTTTGCTAAGTTTAATAGCTTCGATCTTGTTCTGGCAAAGCTCCACATTTAACAAAATAAGATCTTATTAATTTTAGACTAAGCGAAGGGCAAGAGTAAAGCCCTGCCTAAATTAGTATAAATTCAAATTACAGAATAACTTTAAATGCATACAAGTTTCAAGAGTACATCTAAGCAAACAGAAATTAAGTGCTGCCTAATAAATGGTCTCTGACTTAATAAATATGAGTATAATAGTCACATTGGTATATCAAATGGAGGTCCCCAGCAGTTCACTTTATCCCATTGTATTGAAAGAAGACAATGGTCCCCTCACACAGTTCTATTTATGGTTAAATTGCTTATTATGGCCATTTTTCTCTAAGAATAGTGCAATGATTAAATGTCAGCCCAGCCCCATTCCAAATTGGGGAAATCCAAATAACCAAGGCTTTAACCAACAAATGTTATCTATTTTAGAATTTAATAGTCTCAATTCAAAGTCTCAAAATAAACTTTTTTGTAAAAACAAAGACTTCCAGTTTCTCCGTATTTTTTTTAAAGCAAACTCTACCCCAACGTGGTAAAACTCATGACCCTGAGATCAAGAGTTTTATGCTCTACAGATTGAACCAGTCAGGCGCCCCCTCCATGTTTTCAGGGTAAAAAAAAAATTAGTCTTTGGTCAATGTTTTCCAAGTTTAAGATCCTCCAGCGGCAAATTTTCTTAGAGAAGTTATAAAATTCCTAGAAAAGTTCAGTCACCTAAAATAAGTGAGGGGAAGGGGATCAGGTACCATCACTTTATGTCCCGATAAGCAAAATAACATCATTACATATCTAAGTTTAATGACAAAAATGAAAAAGTTCAGGTGTTTTCAACCTCACAGGTGTAAACCCTCTAGTGAAGTTTGGTATTAACTTACAACTTGAGAAAGCCTTTAAAAAGGTTATCTTTTTAAATGAGATGCATGGGGAAAAAAAAGGTGATTAAATATTGTCGTTGGAAGCTTTAAAAGAATCTACACAAGAAATACATAGTGTCAAAGATTTAAGTAATCTACACAAATACACGAAGGCGCCATTCTGGCTCCTCTCTCCTTCCCCACCCTCAATGCTTCTCCACTTCCAGAGTCAGCCACTGTCAGGATGGGGGACACAGAGCCAGGTCCCTTCCTGTGGCTTCTTTATATATGCACCTAAGCTTGTGTGTGAGTGTTTTTAAATGTGGCTACACCTATAACTGGCTCTGCAACTTGCCTTTTATTTTCCTTGAGAACACGTCTTAGAGATAGATACAGGAAAGAAGTTCTGTTCCATGGCTCAGTAGGGATACGTTAGGATTACTCAGCCATTTTCCACACTAATGGGCATTCAGGTTATTTCTTTTCTTTTCTTTTTAAAGATTTTATTTATTTATTTGACAGAGAGAGAGAGACACAGCGAGAGAGGGAACACAAGCAGGGGGAGTGGGAGAGGGAGAAGCAGGCTCCTCACTGAGCAAGAAGCCCGATGTGGGACTCGATCCCAGGACCCTGGGATCATGACCTGAGCCGAAGGCAGATGATTAACGACTGAGCCACCCAGGCGCCCCCAGGTTATTTTTAATCAGTCGCTTTTAGCAATAGTGCTGGAATGAACATCTTTATACATGTTCTCAAATTTTGTTCTGCGAGCTCTTGGGAGCCCTCCCTCTCTACCCCCTCCTCACTTCAGAGGGTCCAGGATGGCAAAACTATTTTCACATAGGGGCGCCTGGGTGGCTCAGTCGGTTAGGCAGCTGCTTTCGGCTCAGGTCATGATCCCAGGGCCCTGGGATCAAGTCCTGAGACCGGCTCTCAGCTCAGTGGGGAGTCTGCTTCTCCCCCTCTCTTTGTCCCTCCCCTCTCACTCATGCTCTCTCTCGAATTAATAAATAAAATCTTAAAAAAAAAAACTTTCACATAGTAAGACAGTTTTTGCCATTTCTGGTGAGGGTGCCAAAGGCACAGGGAGTAAAACCTGGGTGCTGTGTGCCATGCATGGAGGCAAGCGACAGCACCAAACTCGATGCAAATCACTGGGCTCATCACTGCCACGTGGGCCAAGTGGAAAAGGCCAGTTTTATGTCGGATTGTCCTTGATGAAGCAGTTAACAAGTATTAAGTCTTGACCCTTGAACACACAGCTTTTATCCTGTGTGGTGAAATGAGAAGTGCACATAATTGGATTCTCAGATCTGCTTCTGCCTTCAAGCTGCTGTAATCCGTTGCTCTGGCTGAAGTATATGAAGAAAAGTGGGCTTTGCACAAACGCTCAGATGGAAGGCAAGGGGCACGGCTAGCAGCCTGTTCACTTCTCCTGCATATGGATGAATGATGACTGTCTCAAGGAAAAGTACTTGTGCAACTGCTTTAGTTGTGACTTGAACGAACTGCCTTTTCCAGGGATCACCAGGTTTACTTGAAAGAACAACCAACGGATGAATGATGGTTATTCAGACCCAGGATTTGGCAGATACTTTCTTGAAAATGGACACAGCAAGCCTGTCACTTCAAGGAAAACAACTGGAGGTATTTGTTGCCAATAATAAAATCTGAACTTTCCAGTGAAATCAGAATTTTGGACAGCTTCCCAATACTTAACAACTTTTCTAATCATGTTAGGATTGATGTTAAGAAATGTGATTTTTTGGTACTGCAAAATTAAATGCATCAACATTTGGAAGATCCGCTGAACTCAGTAAACCATTATTTTTCAAATGACATGATGTTAAGAAATCAGGAACGAGTAAAAGGTCCACTCAAAGTGAAAGATAAAGCAGATTTTAATGTAACAGGTTATGAAAAGTTCATTAATGTGGATTCGGATCGCACATTTCAGAAACTACTATAAGCTGAGTTTTAGTGGGGTATTCAAGTACATTTACAATTACCTGAAAAGGCTACTGATATTTTTCTCCCTTTCTGAACTACTTATCTGTGTGAAGCTGGATTTTCCTCATACACTTCAACCAAAGCAACAAACAGCAACAGCTTGAAAGCAGGAGTAGATATTAGAATCCAGCTATGTTCTATTAAGCCAGAGATTCGCAAAAATATAAAGCAATGCTACTCTTTTCTCTAATTATTTTTATTTTGGAAAATAGTTATATAGTAACTTGTCATAAATAGTTTTTTAAATTTCAGTTTTAATTTCTAATACGGTAAAAAATAAGTAGCTATAACTCATAAAACAAAAGCCTTTTGGGGTCCTCATTTTTAAGAGTGTGGAGGGATCCTGACACCAAAAATGTCTGAGAACCATTGCTTTCCTTAAATCTTTGCGTGCAAGTTGATCACTATAGGATGGGGTTTAAATATGAAACTGCCAGGTTAAAAAGTATGTACACTTAAAATGAACATCCTGCCAAACTGCTGTTCAAAGAGCTTCAGCAGCTGGAACTCCCACCACGTGTGTATGTATGCTCACAGACCTGCACATGTACAACAAATGGAATGACCAGCCTTTTAGAGTATGGGATTCATCTTTATAGGTGGTTTCTCATGGGATTTAAGGAGTAAACTTCTCTAGTTTATCTAAAATGATTCAACTCAGACATTTTACATTTACATATAATTTCTCAAGAAAACTTAACTGTCCCCAACTTAAAAAAAAAATCACCCAAATAACGATTTCTGAATGGATGTCTGGAACAGACTTTCCCCACAGAAACAATGGTGGCTCTGTTCCCAGGCTTCAACATATAATTCAAATAACAAGAACCAATGTGTTAAATTCTAGAACTGCACTACATTAGAAAAACTAGTGATAACACTGTTTCTATCAGAAAAAGCATTTCTTGTCCTAGTTGGAATACTAGCAACTCTGATACTATCCATCAAAAATGATCTCCAGCCTCTCCTCACCATTCCACCATTCAGAGTGGGTCCTTCAACAACCTACCCTATCTGCAGGCTCCCACATGGGTTCATACCCTCCAGTGGGGCAAAAGTGCTATGTTATGGAAGCTTAGAGGCCAAAAGAGGAGTCACCACATCTCCAAAGGGTGTGTGTGTGTGTGTGTGTGTACTGTGGGATAGGGCAGGGGGGATCAGGGTTAAGTACCACAGAGTTGAAGAGTCCAGAATTTCCCAGAGTATGAGGGATGGAGAGACGGAGAAACACAACTGGGTATGTGATTTCAGTTCGAGGGCATATAAAAGTCTAGAAGTGCAGAGTCACAGAATATAGAGGGGGCAGGAAGAGAAACTGAGTGACTGAGAAACATGACGGGGGCAGGGGAACATGATGAGGGGACAAGGCACACAATCCTTGTGCAATAGCAACAAATTACAGAAGCTGGTCCACAACCAGGACTGCCCTATTACCTTGCAGTTAGTGTGAGGGGACCAGGTTTTGGCCTCACAATGAAATGGTTTCCAAGGCTGGCTCTGCTAATGATCACGTGCCTAGATCGAGGAAATGGATCACTTCTTGGAGCACTGAGTTTTCCCACTGCAAAGTGGAGGTAAAAGTATCTTCCTCCTTCAGAATGTTGCAGGAATTTAACTGAGGTTATTTACATAAAAAAGGGTCCTGACCAAATGGTAGAAGTTTACCAAAATGGTAAAAGTTTAAAATTATTATGTATAAGTCAGTGGTAAGATACAAGTTTATAAATACATTTCTAAAATGAAGGTGCTGGATGAGACAATCTAAAGGCAATGTTAGGTTGACATAGTCTATGACAAACCATGAAAATACCAAGAAAAAAGAGATCTAAAAAGATTTAACTGCTCAGGCAAGATAATTTGCTAACACAAAAGTAATAATAAAAACAAAAAGGGAACAAGTGAAAAAAAATTCTATCAAAAGTTTTGCTAAAAAAAGAACACTAAAACAAAAAGGTAAGCAACAAATTTTAAGGGTATTTGCAGTAAATAAGGCAGATGAAGATCAATATCGTTCTTATACAAGAGGGCACGCATGGCAAGGAGAAAAATAAGGCCCCCAATAGATAAATAAGCAAAGAACACTGACAGATAATTCACAGTTACAGCTGTTTAACAAACAGAAGAACACTGATGCCATTAGTACTCAATAACATGATACCACTGTTACTCTGTCAAATTGGAAGAGACTTAAAATATATGAACCTCCCATGTGTTAAAGGAAATTCTCATACACACTGGTAGCAGTTCTTTGTACAAGAATCCAAAGTCATAAAAATTGGACCGCCTAAATTATTCCAAGAAAACAGTAAATGTGGAAAAAATGAAGGTAGGTCATATGAGGTGGGGGAGGGGGGAGAAAGGACCCTTAATATTTATAATAGCCCTAAGGAGATCATCAAATAAGCAATGTTACATCAACCTGATACCAGCAATGTGGAAAATTTCTTATGAGAATGTCAAGGCAAAGCACATGAGACACAAAATTGTTGACAAGCTCTGGTCAGAGCTATGTAAAAATAAAAATATGCACACGGGGGAGAAAACTACACCAAAGGGCTAACAGCAGTTGCACACATGTGACTTTGGCTCCGTTTTAGGGTCAGAGTGACAGGGTTTCAAATACTGGTTCCAGGCCCTCAAGATGGATTACTGACAACAAGGAGTCTTTCTGAATCTTCATTTTTTCAGTTATAATTACATAGGCTACTGTAAGGACACAGTGATGTGACCTAACTAAAGGGCTAGCATTGTATTTAGCACACGGTAGGCATTAGCTGAATGGTAGTTATTTTACTTTTTATTGGTAGTGTGGTTACATTGCCTTTGTTGTGATTATCTTGTAAATAAGAATGTTTTGATTATTTGACTAATACATAGGGAATTTCCTGAATGGACACCCTTCTTAAAATGAGCTATGTTCTCTCCCTTTAAACTTTCATTCATTGCATTTTTGGGAAATGAATCAAGTGTGAAAATAGCATTTCTGTTAATCTATATATAACATTTACAAATTGTTCTGTCTTATCTGTTTGGTAACTTTTTTAAACAGTAAGAAGTGGTTGCAAAAGAAGATTAAATTTGTACATTTAACTCATAAAACTCAACATGTGACACACTCGCTGTTAAGGGTCTCAAATGTAACACTGACATTTCCTGTGGTGTCTTTATATTTTCTCTGAGATTCAATATGATCCTGCACATTTTGAAGCAAGAGTTGGCTTTTGAGTCCATGGACAGATAGGAGCGATGTTCTTCCAGGTTCAAGGCCACCAATTAAAAATAGGTTGGAACATTCAATTTTTCTTCATATCATAGATTCGTTCCTAACTCAGAACTGGACATCCAAGTTCCTTCATGGAACTATATGGTACGAACTACCAATGTTCCACTCGTAAAAGAATAATGATCACTTTCCAAAGTACATATTTAATAAGCATGCAGAATTATTATAGACGTGGGATGCCACTTTTTCCAAACACGTTTTATTCATTAGCGTCTGAAACAAAAGCTACAGTATCTTTTAGATAAACAGTATTTACAAGTAACCACACGTCAGGTGACATTCTGCCTTCGCATTTGACCTTTTACCATCCAAACCTTGATAGCATGCTCCACAAACAAACCCTACATTTTTAAAAACCCCGACTTCAAAGCTCACTACCGTGTGATTCATAACAAAGCACATACTTTTGTTTTGAGTATCTTGTTACAGTGACAGAAAGACAGCTTAGTTAATCAAAGCCACCAACAAGAGAGCCAAATACACGACTTCTAAGCACCTGTGGTATATGGTGTGTGGTAAAAAGTGCCTTCGCTGGGAAGCCAGGGTTACGTGTTGCATTTGGCATCAGCTCCCAAGTTTTAACTTCTTAAGTTTTCATAACAGTTTGAAGTCAGAGAAATAAGGGGAGGGAAAAACAACAACCATAACCCAACCTATGAGAAGAGGGCTTATGATTAAACAATAAAGAAATCGGGCGTTGCTGATTTCACCCGTGGGTTGCATGTCTGCCATTACCAGTTTGTCTTTCTGTCGTTCACCATGGATGAGAAAGCCGCTGCGTCCATTGCCTTCGGGGTGCATGACCTTACAGACCCCCACGCGACTGATCCCGCCTCCTTCCTGTGGGAACCATCCCCCGCTGGAGTCATCTCTGGTCATAACCACGGCCTTGACACGCACAATATAGCTGTCACTAGAACAACAACAACAAGAAGAAGGGGGCATGACAATGGTCTGGTAGCTGCAGGACACGTTTCACAATTCAAGATGACCACTGGCTGGCACTTTTCTGGAGTCATCAAAAGAAAATCTAGGTCTGGCGGCAACCTTAAAAGGTGACCCTTCTTGGGGTGTCTGGGTGGCTCAGTCATTAACCGTCTGCCTTCGGCTCAGGTCATGATCCCAGGGTCCTGGGATTGAGCCCTGCATTGGGCTCCCTGCTCCGCAGGGAGCCTGCTTCTCCCTCTCCCACTCCCCCTGCTTGTGTTCCCTCTCTAGCTGTGTCTCTCTCTGTCAAATAAATCAATAAAATCTTAAAAAAAAAAAAAAAGTGACCCTTCTCAAATTGGGAGGGGAAAAAAACCCCAAAAACACTTGCAAAAGGTCATTTTTAAAAAGATACCCAGTAAATTTAAAGATGTTTGTGAGCCTTTGAAGATGCATGCAGGCATAACGTTCTCTAGTTTCTGGGTATAAGTATTAATAACAAAATGAATGAGCTAAATGCCATAATTTGTTATCCCTAAGTTAGGAAAGTCAAACCTATGAACTTAAGAGGATATTACAATTTCAACCCTTAAAACTTAGTTCGCAATGAATGACCTAGGCTTAACATTTTATAAAGTTAATCATCTTCTGATTTAGCACAAGAACAGGATAATTTCCTTCCAAATCACAAATTCACCATGCAATCGCATATGTAGGTGGGAAAAGATTTCAGTTCCAGTACCCTTTACGCATGTGTAGCCTTCTGTTTATGATTTTATTTTTTTCCAGTTAAACTTCAATTTCGCAATAACTTCTTTTGCACATTTGCCAAAAATCCTCTTTCTTCTCCAGAGACCAACTCTAGCTCTTGTCATTCTTCATCACTTTTGGGGAAACATATTTGGGTTTTTCAGCAAGGCCATTTAAATTCTCATTTGCTGTTTTCTTTCTTTGGATAGAATTCATTTTTTACTCATTCAAAAGCATATTCACATCTTCTACATGCCAGGCACTGTGCCAGATTCTACAGAAACAAAAATGTAGAGTAACATAGAACCCCCTCTTTCCTTGGGACTCAGGGAAGACCTCTCCTTCCCCCTACGCAGGCCAGAGCCCAGCCACTGCCATGTCCAGTCCACCAGAGACCCTTTAGACAGTCCCTCTGCCCTACCCCCCTGCTCACCACACTCACCCAGATTTCCCATGACTCCCTGTGGCTCAACTTCTACACCCCTCCACCCCCCTGCTCCCTCTAACTTCCTTGTCCCTTCCTTAGACCAGTCCTTTCATTTTGAAAACTGGTAAAATATATATGCGATAACATGTACCATTTTAACTGTACAATTCTGTGGCATTAATACGCGGACACTGCTCTACAACTCTCACCACCATCCATCTCCAGGACTTTTTTCATATCCCAGACCGAAACTCCATACCCAATAGACATTTTTAAACCCCCCACTGTCCTCCCCTCTGCACAGCCCCTGCAATCACCCTTCTGCTTTCTGTCTCAATGATTTTGACTGCTCCAGGGACCTCACAGACGTTCCTTTCACTTTCTGAACCTACATGGAAATGTGCTCTGGGGCTGAGCTTCTGGGGCCCACTGACACAAGGCCATTCTCTCTCTCCTGCAGCTCTCCTTGCTGAGGCTCGATGTGGGGCAGGGTAGTCACCGCTGCCGCAGGCTACAGGTGCGCGCCCCGGTTTCTCTGAAGCTCCCAAGTCTGACCACGCCGCTGCCACCCTCCTCTTCAATCTTCTACAGACGTCTGGGCCGCATCCCTTCCCTCATTCCTGGAAGACAGTGGCAGATGGGCCCACTGTCCCTCCATCTCTCCACCACGATCCCTGCTGTGATTCTTGGTAATTTCCTTATTCACAGAGAAGTTCCGTATAATACCTTGGCCTCTCAGTTTCTGGAACTCTTCCCCAATGCCCTTGTCTTACACCCAACCTTAGGTACCCCAGCCTAGGTCACACCCATGACCTTGTCATTACTAATATCTGCACCACCTCCTTAACCTCAGTTTTAAGCAGCGTGCTCTCCAGCGGCCACTTCCCAACTTTGTGGCTCACTCCCTCCACATTCCTGCAAGTCTTCACCCCACTGGGACCAACCATCTATTGCTCTGATGCCCTTCCCCCGAACCTTCATGTTCTCACTTGATTCAGTACTCAAGTTCCATATTCTATCACGACACGCTTTTGTACAAAAACGTTAACACGTTGCCCTCTCTTTCTTCACTGTAATGGCTCGGTGAAACCCCAACCCTGGTGAAATTCTACCACCTCCTTAACTCCATGCCCCACCCAGGCTGTTGAATAGGACTTTGTTCAAAGGTCTAGTTTTAAAGTCACTAACCTCAAGTGGGCTTCTAGGTGCCCCCCAGCAAGCTGCCACATTTCCCTAATCTGTACCCAAGAAGATTTCATGGGCCCACCTACCCTGTTGCTCTCAGGTGATGGATGAATTGCTTTAATTTCCCTGGGAAGATAGGCAAAGTCAGAAGGGACCTTGCATCTGTGCCCACTAGCATGCCTATGACTCTGTACCAGTACTCTCTGCCTCTCCTCCTTTAACTATGGCTAAACCATCCATAACCCAAGCCAAGGCCAACAACTCCACTTAAAATTCTTCTAGGTGCTAACAGTGCCCAAATTCACATGTCTACCCAGACCTCTTCCCTGAACTTCAGATCAGTAAAATCACCTACCTATGTGATTTCTCTCCTTGGGCGTCTGGTAGGCATATCTCAATCAACATGTTTCAGATTGAACTCTTAATTGTCAATACTTTTTTATCCTACTGGTTCTCCCTTTGAAATATAGCCAGAATCCACTTTTTACCACCTCCATCGACACTGCCCTGATCCCAGTCGCCACCACCTCTCAGAATACTGCAACCTCCTCCTAACTGGCCTTCCTACTTCCACGCCCACCCAACTTTCTAAGAAAATACAAAGGTGAGTCAGATTATGATACTCTACTAAAATAAGACATCCAGTAAGCTTCCTACGTTACTGAGTAAAAATGAAACTCAAGCCCTTATCACTCTCCTCCTTGCTCATTCTACTTTAGTCTCATTGCCCCTGTCCTCCACATTAAGCACACTATGACCTCAGGGCCTTTGCATTTGCTATCCCCACCCCCCACCCCACCCTTCTCCCCCCACACTAACTCAGCTCATTTCCTTATTTCCTCCAGGTCTCTGCCCAGGGTTATTTCATCAGAGAAGATTCTCTGTCTACTTCATACAAAGTAGTACCCTCCAATCCTCTTAAATCTTCTCATCCTTCTTTATCTTTCTACATGCTACTGAAACAACATCTGCCCTACTTGTTTGACCACTTTTTCCAACTAGACTGTAAACTCCATAGAACCAAGGCCTTTGCCCTTTTTGTTCACTGCTACATCCCTAGAACCTACAGCAGTGTTTTATATGTGGTAGGCTGTGGAATGAAAAGGTTAATTTTTTTTTAATATTGTATTTATTTAGTGAGAGCAAGTGAGAGAGAGAGAGAGAGAGAGCGAGCATGAGCAGGGGGAGGGGCAGAGGGAGGGAGAGAAGCAGACTCCCAGCTAAGCAGGGAGCCCGATGCAGGGCTTGACCCCAGGACCTTGAGATCATGACCTGAGCTGAAAGCAGGCGCCCAACCGACTGAGCCACCCAGGCGCCCCAATGAATGGATTAAATGCATGAAATTTATAAGCAGGTTTTTAAAAAGTTATTTGTGGCTAACAAAATCTCTGAGAGAAAATAAAGCGTTCAATACTCATTTGCTTTCGAGCCACAATAGCTTAGTTGGGATAGGATAAAGATTTCATTAATAAGAAAACTAAATTTAATAATCACATGGTTTCTTTCATTAATCCATTCATCTCATGATTCAAATCCATATTGCTTTAGATCATAGAGATTAGGAACATTTGATAACATTTGTTTAGATTAGTTACATACAAACAAGTTGAGAATAACTTTTCCCTGCCATGTCCCATTCATTCTAGAAAAACTAAGGGTCCCCAGGATTTGTAACTCTTCAGAATGAAACACACAGCTTTCTCAGATCTTCTGTTAGTGTACGATGGGTTCATCCCAACAGGAAATGGCCAAGGTGGATACCTGAAACTCTACACACCTCTTGTTAGAACATGCTTTTTAACTTTGTGTTGCAGCTGTCTGCCGTTCTCCCTTCCTTTGAGGGGATTAAGTAAACACGAAAAAGGGAAGTTTGTGTGACTTATGTTGGTGCCATAAACTTACTTCCAAAAAGTATTCATTTATTGGAGATTTTAAAAAATACCCCACCCCTTGGCTCTGAGACTACAGGGGCTGCTAATCTGGGTCTTTGCTTACAGCCTGCCGCATCCTTGATCTTGCCCTAATTCCTCCTATGCCCCTTCCGAAGAGCACTGACTCCTCTGTGATGGGGTGTGTTGGGGGCAGGGGAACAGAACCCCCCGCCCCATCTCCTCTGGCAATAGCCCCATCAGCCCCTGAGGCCTCTGGCTATTTAAAACAAGGCAGGGGGATAAAGGGTTGCACTGAAAGCTGTGAAGGATGTCTGGATAATCCAGCTGCATGGCCACAGGCCAACTGCTTCCTATCTGTGGTGTATTTATGTTACTCAGGCACGTCACCCCGCCCAGAACAGAAATGACAGTGAACTCTACTACCAAAAAGGTATATGGGAGGAAAACTCCCTTCCCACCTTCCCTCTGTCTCTTTCTGGAAAGAATTTAAACAACATGTTTAAGCCAGATGTTGGGTTTGTTTGGGGGAGGATGGGACAGGAAGGGCAAGGGCAGATTAGTTTTTTAATTTGCACAAGGAAAATGGTGCTGGTATGCTTCAGAAGAAATTCAAAAAATGCTGCTATTGTCAAAAATAACAAAACTTAAAAAAATGCTTCTGCAAGCAGCAACTGCTAAACCGGTGTAACTCATTAGGACCCGGTGAAGTTCCACACGTGGATCCAAACACCA